GGAAGCTTTGTGACCACTCGGATTTTGCTGAGTGATCCTGCCACGAGGATCAAATCCTTTAATTTTAAAGGATTTATAATGCAATTATTGCTGTAGGGCTCTTGCCACCAAAAATAAACAGAAAAGGGAAATCTTGGGAAAGAAATGCAATGAAATTGTTCTGTAAGTTGTACTCTGAGCAACCACAAGCTTTTAAAAATTAATTTAAACATGGTTTCTCAGTTTGACTGGCCAGCTTGAGACTTTTTAGGCCAGAATTTTAAAGGTGCAAAACTTCTATTAGTTGCCATTAACTACAGTTGTGAAAATCATATCTAAGGGATTTGAAAACTGAAAAATGGGCCCAAGCAGCAAGACTACACTACTAAAGAACTGTAGAGTGAAACACACCTGCTCTATGCTCTAGCCTCTGGAACAGATGCAATGTAGTTTTTGTTGTAAAGCTAATTGGCACATACCCAACACCACCCTTAGGCAGATATATTATATCCCTGTTGAGAGACAACACATGCTGAGAGAGTTTGGAGTGTTTAACCGTAGCACTCCCTAGCACAGCCCTTGATGCCCATAGTGTCTTCCAGTCTGGACATCCAAAAATTGAGTTATCCAAAATCTTTTGAAGACACTGGTTTAAGTCTATGGATAGCATACAGAGTAATTGTGCAGCACTGTGCACCAACATCTGGTGTTCCTTCAAAATGGTTGGAGCACACAGTACAAAATCCTGAGCTGTTTCATATCCATCTAATAGCTACAATCAATATGAACAGCCTCCATGCATTCTCAAAGCCATAGACAGATTTGTAAATCAATAAATCAAGGTAAACAAGCTTTTGAATGTAAACCGCTAAGGCTCAGGCTTAGTTTGTTTTTTCATGTATAAATTATAATACATTACAATGGTTTAAAAGTATACCAAACAGAGAACTCACTGAATTCCTTGACTCAGCCCATCTTACTATAAACCCCACTGTCAGTTCAGATGTGAGTTCGTTGAGGACATTGTGCCCGATTTTTTTAGGCTACAGTGTAGCATGGTGGTAATAGTTGGGTCATCAATTTGATTTTGCTGTCTATGAAATCATGTGGCTTACCTCATATGTGCGTTAGCAGTTGCAGTCCATTAGGTTCTATGAAGCACTTTGGAATCCTTGAATTGAAGCTACAGAAATGCAAAATAATATAAGTCAGGGGTATCAGATATGGCCACCCACAGGCCAAATCTAGCTCCCAGACTTTTGCCCCAGCTTGGCTTCAGTGCCAGACCTTCCTGCAGCAGCACCCAAGGGCCTGAGCAAGACCTAGTGTTGGAGCCTGAGCAGCAGCACAACTTGTTCCCATGGCAGCATTCAAGTGCCCAGTCAAGACCTGTAGAGTTGGAGCCCAAGCAGCACCATGTATTTTGCTGGGCTGACAGCCAGGTGCCTGCAACACTGGGCTTCATCTTGTGGTGCTTCTGGGACTCCTGCGCTCCAGTTCTCCCCATGGTGCTTTATTGCCACTAAAGGAAGCAGTCATGGTGCTGCTTGGACTCCAGCACCACAGCTCTCACCAGCTTGGCTGCCAACCATCTGAGCAAATGAAGTAGTGCTAGGACCCTAACAGCACCACAGAAAGAAGCCTGGCACTGCAGCTTGTTCCTGCAGAGGCAACCTAGCGCCCAGGATGCTGGGCCTCTCCGATCAGGTCCAGACCAGGCAGAAAAGCATGGAGCATATGGAGCACTGGGAGCATAGAGAAGGGAGTCTGTGGGTCCAACCTGGTCTGCATGGGCAGTCCCACACTATTCATCTGGCCCATGGAACCTCCTGCACCACTTATCCAGCCTATAGGGCCAGACAAATTTGACACCCCTGATGTAAGGCAACATTTGCCTCTTCTGTATATGCACACTATAAAATATATTGCAGGTACAGCCAGGGTGAGAGGATGTAATTTGCCAAATGAAGGAGCCATTCCAGAAGTTTAAAGACCTAGGATATACTGTTTATAATTATTATTACAAGACTAATAATGAGAATTATGATAACAGCAACCACCACCATGACCCACACTATCCAGAAAGGCACAGAGCAGCCTCCACAGTAAATGACAAAGAACCTAAAGATAAGAAGCAATAAGAATCTGCAAAAATCAACTTCAAAACTTCACCCAACCTCCCAGTCCCTGCCTGTCACTCTTCAGTCCATTAAATATGTGGGGTTATTCATGAGGGTAAAGTTATGCACAGATGCAATATTTTGCACAATTAGCATCACAGAACAAAGCTCAACTTTTTGCAGATTTCCACTGTGACCTCTCAGCTGCTGTACATTCAATTTTATTTTACCTCTGTGCTAAAAATAAGAGAACTAAAATTATTTACAAACAAGAATTTTATTCTGTGCATAGCACAGGATTTCTATTTACTGGGAATGGTTTTTCTTATCTATCACTGGCAAGTAGGAGCTAGAAAAAGATGTTTCAGAGACAGGTATGAAGGTTTTGTAACATCAACATCACTGGACACTTTCTGCTCTAAATACAGACACCTTGAGTAAAAGCAGGCCTGGTTAAGATCCTGGCAAAGATTCTACAGATGTCTACAGATGGATTGCAAGGGCAGACAAATATTTTAACCATATACTTAAAACAAATTTTCCAGTTATGATACTAATAATTCAATTTTTAAAATGCATTTTTAAAGTGTTTGCTGATTAGAGTACTTGTTCTTTCAACTTTTCAGTAAAGTTCTCAGATTCTGCAGTGAAAGAAAAGGATTAAAGATTAATTTGAAAGAGCATCTTTTTCACAGTGTGAATGGACTATAGCTGTTCCCATGGGATCAGCCGCATACATTTAAACTCTTCCCACAAGACAGCCATTGTTGCCTATATTCCCCTCAGTTTTTTTTCTGTCATGACAGGTTTCCACACTTCAACAAAAAAGGTGATGGATGCTAGGGCAGCTGATGAAGCAGTGATTTAAAAGTCTCTTAATTAAAAGTATATATTTAAAATATAATATTTTATAGAAAATATTTTAGTAACTAGTATCTAATTCTCAAATATTAGGCAGTTTCATTTTTATTGGAGGCATCTGTCAGAATATTATAAAGTGTTATACGTTTTATTTCTTAATACGCATCTCTCTACATCTTAAGATCAAAAGGAAGGACGTTCTACCAAAACCACAGGGGTATACATTTTTCCTTATCTATAGAGATAAAAGTCAGGAACAAAATTAGCATGCACATATTTTTCATGTGTAATTTGAATATCATGAATTGGTATACCTGTATTTTTTACTTCTTACTTTAGAAGTCTGATTCTGCATCATCCAACCCAATTACTCACTGACCTCTGAGGCACTTATAGCCTACAACAGATACAGGAAATACCTGCTATGCTAAATACCCCCTATATATTCCTAAATGCTGATTTTACCACCCATTTTTATACTGAGAGGAAAAATATAATATATGACTCTTGAGTCTTGATTATAAGTTTATACTTTGCATTTAATATACCACAAAGGCAGAGTGTTTCTGCAAACAGACTTAGATAAAAAAATTACAGGGGCATAACATGAGCTATTCTTTCTGGTTTATATGGCAATTTAAAAACCTTTTATTATTATTTGTTATTTCTTAAATGCCAACAAACTATATCTTCCAGGATGCTATTTCTGCATATCTCTAATGCATGAAATATACTAAGCATAAACCTATTTATACTTATGAACAGAAATATACATTGTCTCCTCTTAAAAACGAATTACAAAGCACACCATAGTACAATACTCTCATTGTCATTGTGGTGCTATATAACGTTTTTTCAACATTTTTCTTTCTTGAATGGGCCTCATCACTCATTGAACTAATTTTTCTATAATGTAGAGATAATATGTGGAAGGTACTCAAGATGAAGCATTACAAAAGTTAAACAAATTAATTCCAACATTTACGAGACAGAGAGAAACTTATATAATGAGGCATCCAGATAGAGAGTACAAGAATAGGTTTATAAGAAATCCACTGTCAAAGTAGAGGTTGAACCATAAACAAATTTAGAGAGACTGTCTCAGTACCCCCTACAAGAGTGATTTCTGAACTCTCGCTACATTTCCTAGTTTCTTCCACATATCTTAAAATCCATTCAGTAAGTTTTCTAATAGGGCCAAAACCTTTTCTAGTATGAATTTTAAAGCTACTCTGAAGCTAAGGCAATAACAGCACATCATTAGATATGAAGTGTCCTTTGTGGATGGTACAAGGTCTCCCTCTCCCTCTCCACAACATGTAGTGGAGCTCAGAAAAGAAGTTTCAAACATTTTAGGATTAATACATTTGCTGTTTCACATCATACTATAGAAGCATTGCTTCACTTTTCTATGCATTTGAAGCAAGTTTACAACATATCATCCACACATATCATTGCAACAAATTTAAATACCATAACTGAATACCTATATTAACATAAACAAACCATAAGAGCTATGCAATAAAGTTAACTGTTCTGTTCTTTCAAAAACACAGTTAATAATTTAATATTTGGATGTGCTAGTATACTTTTTCCATTATTTATTCATTGGTGAAAAATCTTATATGAATGCATATTCAAGTTAGCTAGTTATTCATACCTCTCAGAAGGGAAACCTCTGAAAACATTAATAATTGAAGACAGAATAGTCAGCCTTCAGAGGAATTCTGATAAAATCCATTACAATTGTCAGACTCCCCCTTTCAGCCCCCTGCGTGGTATGTGAGGCTGCTGGCTCAGTGCACAGCCTTGTCAAACCAACCGTACAGTCTATTCAGTTACCCTGGAGTTGTCATGTGGAATTAAGCAAACAAATATCTTCTCTCCATTTTTCCTAACTCTAGTGCTCAAAAACAGATCAGAACTAATTTTTTGCAAAGCTTAACTTCAGCAGCAAACCAAGTGAAAATGTTTTCAGCTTGATATGGAATTTGAATTAGTTAAAAGGATTTATCAACAGCCAGTGGTTACATTCAGTTAATGAATAACCTGCTTAGAGTAACAAGGAAGTTTTAGAAGTTAATGTAAGTCATGGTGCCTCCCGTCAGGAATCAGTGAGAATCCTGAACCTGTTTATTATCATGCGAGAAAAAAAGGCAAAAAGAAGAAAAACAAAGAGTGGACAAAAGAGACTGCTATTTCCAAATTGCCAACCTTAGACTGGCTTTGAAAATAGCAGGAGCCTAAATCAGACCAAGAAAGCCTGAGGTGATGCAACTAGTCACATACACCCCAAATTTGACAGTCGTACTGGATAAATCTTTGCTATAACATGGCCCTTCACCAGTGTTGCCTTGCATATTTTCCACACTGTCCTTGAGCACTTTCTTCAGGTTTATTTGGATAAATACATTACAGGCATGAATGCCACGTGCCCCCAGAAGCTGGGGGGGCACGGCGACCACCCGCAGGCAGCGACAACAGGGGCATGTCAGTGGCAAGCGGGGAGCTCCCGCAGGTGTTCACAGCAGTATCTGTAGCAAGGAGGAGGGGGGCGAGCACCGCCCAGTGGTCAGCAACCACCCACAGATGCAGCTGGCAGCAATCGAGGGCTGCCCACAAATACCACTGGCAGTGTAGGCGGCAAGGGAGGGGGTGGCAAATGGCAACTGCCCACAGGCACCACCAGTAGCATTGGCAGCGCTTTTGGCAGGGTGTGCACCACCAATCTCAGGGGGTGCATGTGTACCCACATGAACCCCCTACACATCACCAATGATTACAAGCAACCCTCACTTAGCGCTCTTAATTGGTTCTGAAAAAAATTAAAGTTAAGTGGAACCACACTAAGCGAAACCCATTTTCCTACAGAAATTAATGTAAATAAATAAAATTGGCTTCGCCCCTTCCTGCCCACCCACTGGCTGCTCTGGCACCACCAGCTAGCCTGGACCCCATGCTTCTGCCGCCCTGATGACCCTAGCCCTGGGCACTGGCCTGGGCCCTGCTGCCCCGCCGGCCCTGGCCCCACACTCCTACCGCCCCACCAGACCAGGCTCCGCACTCCTGCTGCCCCACTGGCTTGGGCCCCACGCTCCTGCCACCCCGCTGGCCCGGGCCCCATGTTCCTGTTGCCCCACCAGCCCAGGCCCCGCACTCACGCCCCCTGCCCACCCCTTCTCACTGCCACTGCCATTCCTCTCCACCCACCCACCAGTCACTCCAGCAGCATGTGCCAGAGTGGACTGCGTGCTCCTGCCATCCTGCCCTGGGCCCCACTAGCCCTGGGCACTGGCCTGGGCTCCATGCTCAGGTCCCCTGCCTGCCCTCCCCACCCCCTTCTCACCACTGCTGCCACCAGCACTCATCTCCGCCCACTCCAGCACCAAGTACCAAAGCGGACCCCAAGCTCCTGCCACCCTGCCCTGGGCCCCCACCACACTCACCGCTTCACTCAACAACACTGCCACTGCCGCTTCTCCCCACCCCTGCGTTCAGCATTATAGTGAAACACACTGAGCAGTTAGTGGAACCAGGTAGGTATTTTAAGCGACTGCTATAGTGAAACTGCGGTAAGTGAAACTGTATTAAGCAGGGATTGCCTGTACAAATTCTCAGAGAATTAGCCACAATTGACTCCCAGTAAACTTCTGCAACAGAATAATCTCTTTTGCAGATGGACACTGGGCGAGTTGTTCTTCTTAATGTAGTGCTATGGGCTAAGTCACATCACCAGAGGAAGATCCAGAGACTGAATTTTTACAGTGAGGGGTACAGGTGGTATCAAAAGAAGTAGTACCTGGAGGAGAACACTATAGTACAAAGCCTCTCCATGTTCAATTATAAAAGCTAAATTTTCCCAGCCTTCTGTAAAAACAAGTCTCCATCCTTGCAAAATGTGAAAAAGAAGCGGTGATATCAACTTTGTTAAAAAAAAATCCTTTTTTTTCCCAGTTATAAAAAGTTTTTTCATTTTAAAAATCTACTACATACACCATACATGGAACCATATATACATCCTTCATTTTTAGAGCAAGTGCTATAAAAATTACATACCTGATGAACTGCAATGAGAAACCCACACAAGTAAATTGTTGATTAACAGTGTCCCTAATAAAAGATTTTTGTTTTTCCCTGCCTAAACCTGACGTAGTAATGATTTAGTAATCATATTACTAAGAAGCATATAGAAGTTTCGGTGGCAGGTACAACAGAGTTGGGAATGTTATAACAAAATCATTTTTAATCAGAAATTACCCATTTTGTTGAAACTGAAACTTTCCTAGGATCATAGGTAACAGCCTCAACAGAAAGTTTCTCAGGTCCAGGATGGAGTTTCTTGTCACAACAGGAGAGAAGAAGAGAGCCACTGCAAAATAGCCAGCAGCCACAATTAAAGTATTGACTTGGGATATGAGAGACTCAGAATTGAATCCATCTTCTGACAGATTCAGTTTAAGGACTTGAGCCTCAGTCCTAATTATGTTAGGTGAATACCCTAAAAATTGGGTTATTAGTTAATCTAGGATGAGTCATTTTCTGATCTTTTGACTAGAAATTCCCTCTGGGACCCAACTGATTGGACAACAGAGAGCATTGGAGAAACATATTCTACAGTTCATTGGTTATGGCACTTCTGGAGAGATGAGAGACTAAGGTTCAGGTACCGAATCCAGTGAATATTTCATTCTTTGTACAAAAAAGAATGCATAATTCTTTATACAAAAAAGAATGTATAATTATACATGGACAAACAAACAAACAAAGTGCTAAAGCTCAAACAAGAAAGACTGAGAGCCCACCCCATCTACACACCAGCACATTAGCTTTTCCAGAACTGGTCTTTCTTATTTTTCACAAAAAATATCAGGGTTTTTGTTTTGTCCTGATACAGAAAAAGAAAACTTTGATATCTCAAAAATTTTCACAAAACAGGAAGATCATTTCCCACCCAGCCCTAACATACAATACAGTACCTAATAGTTGTAAGACTTCAATTTTTTTTAACGAAAAATGCTATGGAAGTACACATTATTGTTTTTATTAACAAAGACAACAATACATATCATAATTTCATGAGCTGGGTTCACTTTCTAAGAGTTGACAATTTTTCTTCTAGAACTTAGACTCTCACAGATCAGAGGATCATAGGAAAGTAGGACTGAAAGGGACCTCACATAGTTATCCAGATTCCTGCTCAAAGCAGGATCATCTCCAACTTCACCATCCCAAGCAAGTGTCTGTCCAAACTGCTCTTGAATATTTCCAAGGATGGAGCTTCTAGCCTGTTTCAAAACTAAACAAGATTCCTAGAAAGGATATCCTTATAATTAGTATTACTAGCAAATTGCCCATCAAGAATGATGGCGAGGCAGGCGGGAACAGAGCCCTGTGTCCAGCTCCGTGCCCGCCGCCCCCGCCACTCTAGGTCTGGGTCTGCTCTAACCCCGCCCTGTGCCCCTCCCGCACTACTCTGGGTCTGGCCTGACTCCACCCCAGGCCACCACTCCAGCTACAGCCCTACTCCACCTCCCCCTGACACTCCAGGTCTGGCCCCGCTCCACC